GTTCTGGGTGATGTGATATTAGCAAGGACACTCTGCTAAGGAGTTAGACACTTGTCATTCCAAGCTGAAATTGGTGATGTGATTGATTTTGATGTCTGTCTTGTACTTCAAAAGAGGTTTATGTAGCCCTTAATCATTACTTCTAGCTTTACATATATGTCAGCCAACATGTCTGTGTGTACTATCCCATTTTAGAACCTGTGCAACATTTTTCTTCCTCTGATGCTTGCTCTTGTATATTTATAATATTCATCTTATGAAGAAAGTCCATAGCATGGAGATATCAAAGCCTTTTCTCTGACTGTTTCCCTCAGGAGCAGGATTCTTTCCATAGCAAACGTGTCATGGGTTTCTGCTTCAGCAGACAGCACACTAGAGAAGGTCTCCAGAAGCCACAAGGCCTCAGGGCAAACTCCTGCAGTTCAGCTCTTTCCCTTTGCTTTTTACCACACTACACTGGTTCATGCTTAGGACTGAAAAAACCCTCTTTACACAGCAGTCTTCATTACCGCCTCCCAGAGAAGTGAGACGTGGATGGTGTGAGCGTGGGCTCCAGCAGTGTAGGGGTTCCTCTTCTCTCTTCCATTGTGGATACAACAAAATGGGAGCAATCAATGAACCTCTAGATACAACCCAAATGTGGTGGGGATCCTCTGAACCTGGGAAAAAATGAAAAAGAGCAGATTTAGAATAGTATTTTACTTTTGCTTCTGTCTTTGGAAATGCGATGGGACCAAGACCATGTTCTGCTGTTGGTCAGAAAGTTGCACCTTCTTCTTCCCCATCCCTCCCCTATCTTTACACCAGCTCTTGAAGTTGTGGGAGGAATCCCAGGGCTTGTTGCTCTGACTGAAAATTGCTCTGTACAATGTAGAGATTAGATTCAGGTAGCTCAGTGGCTTTCACAAGTGATAGGCATAAGGGAAGGGACAGACAGGTTCAGAGATGGTTAAGAAGGAGGATGGGACTGGCTGTCCCCTCTGGCAGCAGCCTTCAGTTAGCCGTGTTTAAATTACTCATGAAACTGCAAAGCTTGCTGCTTAGATTTGTAGGCAGGAGCCTGACTAAGCACTTGAGAGAGGCTTTGTGTTATAAACTTACACAAACTCAACTGCTGTCTTGGGTGCTTGAAATCTCTCAATAGCTCTGCTGTCTACATCAGAAGACCAGTCTGCTAACATGGCACAGTTTAATACCACTTAAAACTCTTGTACTATTGAAGTGACACACTAAAATGGGCTAGAATGTATAGTTGTATGGTCTGTTTCCCCCACTTCCCCCTTGTTTTTGTTGTTCCACAGGAAACAGCTGAGGTCAAAAACTCCAATTCCAGCCTTTCTGAAGCACCATCTTATTCTGTGCTCATGCTGGTATACTGGAGGGTCAGGAACTTCTCCCTCTTCTCAGAATTACACAGGACATAAGTCTCACCATGCTACCATGCTCTCTCTGTCTCTCTCTCTTTTTTTTTTTTTTCCTTTTTATTTGAATTCATTTCCAAAAAAAAAGAGAGTAACTTCATTGTGCGATGCCATAACCTCAGAGATCTGCAAAGCAGTGGAAATGGTTCTTAGTTGCATTAAAGAGTATCTTGACATCAGTAAGCTCTTTCACATCACTGAGAAAAACGAACTACTGCTGTGCTACAGTTGCTTTAGGGGAAGGCATCTCAGCGTCCAGACAGTGCTGCAGAGACCACAGAGCTATTCAAGGCATGTAGACACCCAGAGTGCTCGGTCATAAAATGCGCTGTCTCTGAGAATAGCATTCATCTAATTTTTCTGAAGTTTAAAGCCTCTCCAGAGGTGATCTGGACAAGTCCCTCATCGTCTCCCTTTTCATTCAGTGTAGAGAGACAGGTATTTCTGTGCCACGAGCCATACGGCTTCCTTGGATCTTTCTTTGAAGGATAATCCATTTTGAAGGGATGGTTGCTAGAAGAGCTCATTTCTTTCTAGCCTACAAAGGAAGGCTAAATAAGTTGCTCAAATAGAGACCACTTTACAGTAGCCCTCCAGATCTGGCTGAATGAATCACACTCAAAGGGCCTGGTAAAACAGAAGCCAGATGACGATCCTGGCAGCAGTAATAAAGCCATTGCCTAACACCAGCAAGTAATTACAGACAGGGAAGGCAAGAGGCTTAGCACACCTTCACAGCTCCTGGGGGAAGGGAAGCCCATCTGGAGGCCTCGGTGATGCTGTGCTCTTCCCTAGGCTGCTGGGCGAAGCTGGGCTTGGGGGTGCTGGTGGAGGCCTTGCTCCTCTCATGGGCCTGGGGCACTGAAGCCAGGAGACAGAGACTTCATGCTTAGCTCTTCTGGATGCTGTACAAACCCCAGGGTTTTGGGTTTTTTTTGAATGTGTGAGAGAGACGCTGCCTGGTCTGGAATTGCTTGTTTTGTTGTTTGTTTGTTTTAAAATGGGATCTGTTTATTCACTGGAAACTCAGTTTCCAGCTGATCTGAAAGTATTCATGTACTGGACCAGTTAATTAATTAGTTCAGCCAATGCAAAGTGAATAGGGAATTCATGAAAGCATCTGGCCTGGGCATTTTAGAAGTACAGAAGTGAATTTGTGCTGAATCCCAAGCAGCACTGGGAAATGGTCAAACAAAATCTTCCTCACAAAAGACAGGTTTTAATCCTCTTACTCCTTCTGAGTAAGCAGATGTGTTAGCCACTGGACTTTTAGGGGCACAGAGGCAGAAGGGAAGAGCAGAGCTGTCGTTATCCACTTATATCCAGGACTGCATTTAGGAAGGAGAGGAAAAGCATGTCAGAGGGGGTGAGAGCAGCATTGCCAGCCACATGGTTACCAGAATCTGGACCCTCTTCCAATGACTGTTTAAACTTCTACATAAAACTGAACAATATTAAACAATGTTTTTGTTAAACAAGTAGGACACCTCAGATCACCATTTCTTTCTGGTGGGTGTCTTTATTTTCCAACCTGTGTCCAATCTGTGTCCTCGTGCCCAAGGAGGAGAGAAGGGCACTGGTGGACATGCATATGAGCATGCACAACACTGGGCAAGGCACCAAGGCTGGCCCGAGGGAGTGTGGGGATGTCTGTGTTTGGAGATAATAAAACTGCAAATTTGGCCTACTTTGAGAAAGGACTACCTAAAAATCAAAAGCTTCCTTTAGAGTTTAAAAACTCCTAGATAATGAAAAAAGACGTCACCTGCACCCCAGTTACTATTTTCAAACTGACAGAGGTAAGTAGATAAGTCTCCATACAAAAATGGAGAAGGAAAGAAAGAAAAAGGTTTGGACTGAAAAGCACTTTCTCATGCAGAAAATAATAAATGTGTGTGGTAGCCTGCCAAGTGGGGTTACTGAAGTAGAAACACACTGTTCACTCGAGGACAAGAATCATACAATCACTTTGGGGATACTGAGTGTTGAATATAGAAGAGGAATCTGGCTTTTCTCCTAAAAAAAAAAAGGTTTAAAAGGGTGAGATGATGAAAAAACACTGTTACACCCACAGGCTATTTCTGTAGCTAAAGGTTACCAGATTTGCTCTTGACCAGGGTGGTATCTTCAATATATAGCTGTGGCCTGCGTTCTTATAGCAAGGAAAATTGGAGCCCTGAGGGAGCTCAGAGCTGCAAGGAAGTTCTTCTGAAATCTTCCCCAAAACCAAAATGTCCCCGTATGGTAGCACTAAGGTGCTCTGTGAAAAGATCAGTGTGTTTAAAAAAAATAAAATAGGGAGTGCTCTGAAATAGCAGCTTCATCCCACTGGGAATTTTCTGTGGGTGAAAATTATTTTAGAAGATCCTTTTTTGATCTGTTGTTGATCCTTCTGTGAGCTGACAGTGGTAAATGAGTGGTGGGATCTGGGGAGCTGGCAGACTCCCCTGTAAATGGAACAATGCCTCTAATAAAAAAAATAAATAAAAAGGAATAAAGATTGTTTACAATGGATAATGTGTGCTTTTTTCCCCATGACAGCTATTGACAGATCAGTTTCTGAACCTTCAGGCCCTCCCACCCTTGAGAGACTAAGATTTGCAGTTAGAAACATTTATACAATGGAATAGAGGGTAATGCGGATGTGGGATCACCAGAAGGAATGATGAGGAGGCAGGATGGAGCAGATGGCCATAGAGACAAGACCGGCAGGCCAGGTAGCACAGCCATACCCAGCCTCTCAGCACACCCAGACCAGGAAAACAAGGGAGACCCAAAAGAAGAGAAGGGGCTGAAGCCATGAATTGTTGGGGGTGGGGTGAGCAGGAGAGAAAAATGTATAAGCAAATGAGCAGGGCTGCTAATGACCTGGAAGTAGGTCAGGACAACACCACGCTGTCCCTATCTGGTCTGTGGGATCCAAGAGCAGCACATGGTCACCAGGCTATGGAGAAACCTGGAGACATGGCGAGACCTGTTAGCCAGCATGTCTTGTCCTGTGTCACGGAAAGTAATTTTGTCTGATCCCTGGTGCTGGTGAGAAGGCAGTTACAAGAATATGTGTAAGCAAAGGCAGTTCTGGGTCAAAACAAAATCACTGCCTCCTCCCATACTGTCTGGTGTTGAGCTTTGCTACCACAGTGTTGCTACACAAGTACTGGGACAGAGTAATACTGTCCTTCATTCTGCTTTTCTTCTAGCCTTAGGGCTCCTGTATTCTCCCTTGTGTAGTAAACAAGACTCAAGAAGTGACCTTCAAAACATCCCGCCTTCTTCATAGTGTTTTACTGTTATCTAGCAATTTGAACACTACTCTTGGGAAATACCGGGTCTATATAAGCTCAGAGGGCTTATTACCTAGTTCTCCTTTTCCCCCATGTTGGTGAAGGAGACCAATGGCAACACCACTGTTCCACACCAGATAACCATGGACTACATCAGTCCATGGTTACTACTAACCTCAGCCCTCTGCCTTTTATCCATCCAGCTGGGAAGGGGATGATCAGACTGGATCACGTAGTAGAGGACACCTGTGCTGACAGACTATATCTGCCCCAGGAATGATGAGGTTAGTTGTGAGGCTGTGTTGCTGGTAGTGGTTTTCCTCCAGCTGCAGTGTCTGGGTTAAATGCTGAACCTGTTGGGGTAGGTGTTTGCACCTGTGTGGGGCTTGGAGGTCAGGGCCAGCAGGAGTCCTGGCTAGGCACAATATGGGTGGTTGCGGGGAGGGGAGGTGGGCATTTCCTTCCTGCAGGCCTGGAAAGATAGGGTCACTTGAAAAGCTGGTCCTATTCCCCAAGGATAAGGAGGTGCTGCCCAGTACTCAGAATCTATGCTGAAGAATCCTTACCCAGGGGCTGCTGGTAGTTTGTACATTGCTGGACACTATGTTCCCTAAGCTAATTTTGCTTTTGTTGTGCAGAAAAGCCAAACACCCAAGGGTCAGGAGGTGTGGCTAGGGCCAATGATGGTTTAAGGCACATGGAGAGCTGCAGGTGCACAGGGCCAACAACTTGTGTGCTGGGAGTGAATAGGAAGCCTCAGGCTCTGGGGTTGTCTGGCTCTTTCAAACTCACCTCAGGCACCAAACAAGGGTTCTCCCTGACAGCCCAGCAACCTGCATGAGGAGTACCCTGCATACTAGGCAGCTTGGGTGGAAACACCGGCTTGGAGCCTCTAGGTCCCAAGCAATTTTGGCTTAAATAAAGCATGTTCCTAGCCTTGTTCTGCTTCACAAGTCTCGAAGAAGTAGATGGCAAAGTTTAAACCCAGGCTGGTACATGGATAATTATCAGGGAAGGAAGAACTGTGTCTTAAAATCACCATGGGCCATTTATCAGGTGGAGGGAGAAGGTAGGGTATTGCAGCAGTCACTTAGCTGGTGGCTCTGGGCTCCATCTTTTGGAAGAGTCCCCTGGGGAAGGCAGCAGCATAGGCCCATGCCAGTTGGTAGCAGAAGTTGCTACTTAACTGCTACTGCAGAAGTAGTTTGAATGTGCCATGAAGACAAAGGAAAGGGGCTGAAATAAAATGCAATATTTCCAGGGGAAAAAAAATAAATCTGTTAGTAAGAGAAGTTCCTTGTTCCTGCAGCTGCCATTGGGCCGACATCAGATCCTCACTGCAGGTAAGCAATGAGCAACTGAATTACTCCCAAGACATGCTGCAACGGGGCAGTGCAGATATCATCTCCTTGTCACCTAAGCTCTGGCTGAGGTGCATGTTCTAGTTGCATTTGTTGTAGGTGGACTTGGTTTCATTTCATTTTTCTGTGCTCTTCCCCTCAGTCCCTGCAATCTTCTTACACTGTTGGACTACTAGATCTGCATTGTGTACAGGAGAGAGAGAGCAGGAGCCTGATTGTTCCGTGAAGAGAGATGTTCTGCAGATTTTCAGTTTAATATTTATATTAGCCTCAGGCAATTTTCTACTCCATGTTTTAGGGGAGTGAGCAGGGAGAACATGTAGATGTTCTTCTCTCTGATAACAAGGGATTAGCTTAAGCACACAGATAAGGAACATCAGGGATGCAGATGGCAATAGAAGAACAAAAGTAACCAGACAAGACCGTGAAGAGAGAGCTTCTCTATCCCTTTTCATAGAAAAGATTTAAAAAAAAAAAAAAAAAAAAAAAGATAAAAATCTTCGATGACCTTTCTTCCTTCAAACAAGTGAGCAATACCCAGTGTCAAGTCTGATCAGTCCCAACAGAGTGGATTGGGACAGAGCTGAGTGCACTACAAGGCAAGGAAGGAAACTTGGGCACTGGAGACAATAAAACCACATTATTAATTTAGCGCAGCTTTGTGGTCAGAATTTTTTTGCCATGTTCTGCTGTACTGGAGCTCATTTCATTATTGTAAAATGTAGATAACTTCTCCCATGTTTTCTGAGGTATGTCACAACATACACAGTGAAACACTGGGCACAGCTCAAAGCCAATAACGGCTAGATAAGATCAGAGTTTTCAGGACATGTTTTATATTTACAGCTTAGTAATGGGTTCCATCCTGTCCATCTCCTTTCCACCACCCCCCCCTTTTTTTTTTTTTTTTGAAATAGCTAATGTTACTATAAACATGTCTAGGCACAGCAAGAAGTGCTTCTACAATTTCTCTTCTACATTTCTCTTCTTCTTTTTCTTTTTCTGCAACAGTTCATTTTAAAAATGGACAGGAAAGTCTACTGCATATCCAGTGTATAGCTAGGCTTGGTCTTGTCATTTAAAGCCAAAAGCTGACTCATGCTGACCCTTGGGTTTGCATTCACGTCTGAACAAATCTTAACAGGTTTATTGGCAGGAGGGAGAGAGATGAAAAACTAGTACCAGAATCAGGATGCTTTTGCCACTTGGCAAATTTTCACTTCACGTCTTTGGAGACAGCCTGGTGGATTTGCTGCAAGCTCCTCAACAGCCATAGAGATGACTCCCCAGCAACTCCTTGTGACTGTAACTGCTACTGTGAGGAGCAGACCTGACTTTTGTCCTGGTGGCAGCTGTTGATACAGGCCTCATGCAGACCTGTGTGACTGCAGTGAAAGCAATGCTAGCCCTCCCTTAGAGCACTGGGACTCCATGCTACCTCCTTGTCCTCCATCCCCATTCCTTCACAGCTCTGATACCCCTCTGCAGCACACCCCCAGGTGCCTGCAAGTTTTGCAAAGGAGAGAGGCCTGCACAAGGAGCACCGAGCCTGTGGGGAGGCAGATGGGCAAGGTTATGAGCCCCTGGTGTTTCCCATCCTCAGTGTAGCCTCAGGCAAGATCTCAAGTGGCCACACAGCCAGCTCCCCCTGCGAACCCACAGACTTTGCTGTGTGACCAGCTCAGCCTTCTCCAATTTGGAGAAGCCATTGTGGAGCAGAGTTGAGATTATACTGTAAGGATTAGCATCGTATGACCAGAACTTCTTACACTTGTTTCCAATCACCCAGCAGGAGATGTTGTTTATTTGGCAGGAATAAGCAAACACACTAGCATGGCAACTGAAGCAGATCTTTCCACTTAGAAAGTTTCTGCTCACTGCACAATTGCGTTAATGTAAATCCTTTATAATTGGATCAACAAGAGCTGTGCTGAATGCCTTGATTCTTCCACGGAGCGACCAGGCTGCTGGGCTGAGTTCCTCATGGCCAGAACCCAAACCCTGCCAACCTTCTCCCTAGCCAAAATAGATGTTCAGTGAGGGGGGAGAAAGGGAAAAAGAGCTTTTCTTAAATATATCCAAATGGGCCTCACCTTTCAGCATCTTTGTCTAGCTGCATATCTTTTTATTCAGTAAACTAAGACACAGGTCACATAGGTAGGCCAGATGAAAACTCCAATACCTGTTGCATGTCAGAGCTTGTGAAGGTTTTCTTTAAAGTATGAGAGTTTTGGGCTGTGTTCCCACAAAGGGATTAAACAGAGAAAAAGCCTCATCAACTGTCTCTCTCAACAAGTCTGGGTGCTAAGCTTCTTTTTATGTTTTCTGAACATTATATGCTTGTAGATACACCTGGACTAAAATAAAAGTAGTTTTGTGTGGGGGGCCTTTTCTAAGGGAAATTAAGCTCTGTTTCAGATTTTCCGCTGGTTGTTTTCACATGTCTAACAGCAATGCCACTCTGAAGCGAGCACTAAATTTTGGGTCTGCCTAAGTCATTGAGTCCTTTTAGAGACTGCACGCTAACAGTAAGGCATTGCAAGCCAGATCAGACTTATATAGTATTGACCTTTTTTGTTGTTGTTGTTTTCATGAATGTAAAAAGCTGTTGTTTGAAGAAGTGAGGTTGGAGCTGTCAGAAGGAAATACATAAAGAGTATATAAAGCTGTGTATGCATGTTAGACCAAGACCTTTGTGTGCTCTTCAGACAATGTCTGAACACTTGGTTGCTTTATAAGTGTAACGTCCCAAGAAGTGCCCTCATAGCTCACATGTAAGGTAAACTGCATTTTTCCTTTATTTTAAGCATCAGTTTCTGGAGATTTTAGGGGGCACATAAAGATAATACACATGTGAATAGAAAGCGAAGCTTTGCATGATCACAGGTATGACTGGGATGTTTTCCATGTATTGGAGGAGAATAAGCAGGGAAAGGCAGCACCAGAGCCCTCCTTTCACCTCATCTCTCATCCCAAGTACAATGTGAGTCCTATTCTAATGCCTGTTTGCAGAGGCAGGAGCAATAGAAAACTGTTTCTCAGTATTTGCCTTAGTATTGAATGATAGATGCTCAAAGGAGTGAATGAGCTATGCACAGATAAAGTAGTTTAGCAAGGGCTTCTTATGCCATAGAGTTTCAGGTAGCTCAGAACAGAAATTCACAAAATCCCATGTGAAAATTATTATTAACTGACGTCACTATGCTAGCTAGCTGCTCTCTATACTTTTTAACCTGATTTTTCTCACAAGGCAAACATTTGTAAACAGAATCTCCAGCTTTGGTAGCATCCCCATTTTGCTGCTGTTCCTAAACACAGCATGATGTCTCAGGCATCACCTGGGGTAGTCCAGTTGCACACAAGCAATTTGTTCTCTTATCGTCTGGGGAGGCTGCTCTGCCTGGAGCGTTGGGATGAGGGAGGCTTCCACATAGTTCCCCAGATCTCTCCTTTAGGAAAGGCTCTGGATGGAAAGGCAGGCTTTGTTGCTCTTCTTCATCAGTGGCTCCTGAGACCTCCATTACTGTGGAAGGCAGGAGCACATCTGGGAGTGCACGTGGTAGAGCAGAAGATTCAGCAGAGGCTTTGAACAAGTGATCCCATAAACTTCTGTCTTACCTAAGTAGGGTGCTGCCCCATTTTGTCATGTAAAACGTGAAGATGAATATTCCTAGGCAGCTCATTGCTATGTCAGGAAGCTGCTGGATTTTAAAGAGGATGATGTGCTATGGCTTTCAATCGGGCTGTAATTTCACCCAGGTTTTGTATTGGCCAGCAAAACCACATCAAAAGGAGTGAAGCCTTGAAGGCTTTCAAGTGATCTGTTAGTACTGCTTAGAGAGAATCCAGCAGAATATGTGAATATTAATCACAGCTAGGTTTCAGCGGGGATAAAAGAAGGAAACAAGATTGCCTGTAAGCAGCTCAAATCCCAGCATTTTCAAGGGGAATTCCTAGGCAATGTTCAGTCTTCTGAGCCTAAGGAGGGTTGAACAGATCTAAAGGTTTCTTTGGTGACGGCCGAGGTATGGCTAAGCTAGGCACAGGCTCTGCTGTTTCAGCTGTGCCTTGGGTGCAAGCAGTTGGGCAAGCAGGAGTTGTAGAACTTCTACTTGTACATCATCTGTTGAGCTCATGTGTAAGTCTCCTCAAAGAGTTGTTGTGGTCTGTCCACACACAACTGCCACAGGCCTCTGACAGCTAGGTGACCGTGATGGTTTTGTTGTGATGAGAAAGAGAGTCAAATGGACAAAAAGTATCACGTGACCTTGAGTGAGTGCTGGGAAGAAATGAGGGTAGGGAGTTACCTTGAGTTTTACAAAGCATGGTGCCTGAAGCAGAGGATATAGCTTCAGACCCTAATTTTGTGAAGACCCATAAGGGCCTATACCACTCATGGATGATGCTTGAGATTTAATAAACTAAGCTTTGCCTCTCACAGACTGACTAGGAGTCAAGTGCTAAAATATCACAACTGTATGAGAGGACCAGTGTGTAACTGGGTGTGTAATGAACTGTCATGTATTACTGGGGATCAGCTGTACACACTAAGGACAGAGCGGAGAGAAGAAAGCACACTCACAGCACAGTTTGGTGTTGAGGGATCTACAGAGGTCATCTGTTTCAGGCCCCTGCTCAAAGCAAGGACAGCTAACAGTTAGAGCACCTTGCTCAGTGCTGCGTCCCATCCAGTTTTGGAACAGAGATTTTAAAACCTCTAAGGGCTCTCTGTTCCATTGCTTGACCACTGTATTGATGGAAAAGTTGTTTCCTTGTATCTTGCCATGATTTCCTTCAAGACAGCTTGTGAGCATTCTCATATCATTGCTGTTCATCTCTGAGAAGAGTCCTGCTTTGAGGGAGCATCCAGATTCTTGGCGTGCCTGGGAATATACATGTAAGAGAATCCCAGCTGAACAGTCCCCCTCTACCTGCACTGTGTTGTGGCTGGGGAAATGCTGTCTCCTGAAGGGGTTTTGTTAGTGCTTGGAAGGAACACTGCAGAAATGAAGGTAGGTGCAAAATCCAGAAATTGTACATCATGAGCTAGCACTGCTTTATCAGGTCTTTGTAACTGTGCACAAAGCTGAACACTCTTCTTTCTGCTTGCAGATGCCCAGTATCAATCCTCATACTGAACAGACTATACATGCATATATATATATATATATATATATATATATATATATATTTAATATTTGTCTCCACGGTTCTCTCAGGAGAACATGACTCCTGTTGTGCTCACCAAATATCATATGTGTGAAAGCACATCCTGCTTGGACTGAAGTGGCAAGCAGTTGCCTCCCTCCCTCCAACCCCATCACGTCATGAAAAGGACATTTGCTGCAGCATTTATCTAGCATTTCCATCCATCTGTTCTTCTCACTTTAAAAAAAAAAAAAATGTTTCTGAATCATTTCTTGTTTTCTCTGTTCTGTATGTTTTTATTTTCCTGGTTTGTACTGTTGTATATTTCATGCTTTCCACAC